CAACGCAACTCATTCAGTTCCAAAATTATTGTTACCTTATACGGCTGCTTCCAATCAAAAATACAACGCAAATCATTTAGTTCCAGAGTTCTTGATGCTGAATCCTGATGCTTTTATTCTGTCCTACGCATGGCTTGCCGCGCAGTGCAGCCTCAGGACCGCTCAGTCAGCCAGCAGCCAGCAGTGATCGTTTTGTTGAAGTCCTGCCAGCGCACGCAGCAGTGTGCAAAACAAACAGGTGCCACAGTCTACGCTGCTGGCCAGCAGCAACCGTGTACATACAATAAATCTACTCGCGTCCCCCTTTCGTGAACTCGCCCGGGTTGCAATACATTTTTTTCAACAAATCACCTTTCAGCGAGCACGCCAAAGCCGCCTGTCAAACCTATAATTGAAGGAAACAAGAGATAAGTTACTTTCACAAGCGCCCTTCCCATACAAAGGTAAAACAGTACAAGAATGCAGGAGATGAAAATCATTTTCCCGGGTTGGCTTTCATTCAGGATATCCCAAGGTCCCAAGCTGTTGAAACTTAAAAACACAATTGGCGCAACCTTCGTTTTCTCATTGAATGACCTGGTCTGTAATGATGTCAAGCTGTATCAGTATGAAGCTGGCCTACACTTAATTGAGATTATTGGCCGAACCTCATACAAACTTTTGGAAGCACTAATCATGCACATGGCAAGGTAACGAAGGAAAGGAAACAACATTGAACATCATTATTGACCAAAACCTGCAACAAAACCTGAAGACCCGCAGGCCCGCAGGCATGGTTCCTGACCAGCAACAAAACCTGCTGACCAGTAGGAATGAAAACAATGCTGAACAGCATTGTTCAACATTGCCGCTGTCCAGCAGCAAAAACGTTGCTGACCAGCAACAAAACCTGCTGACCAGCAGGAATGAAAACAATGCTGAACAGCATTGTTCAACATTGCTGCTGTCCAGCAGCAATAACATTGCTGACCAGCAACAAAACCTGCTGACCAGCAGGAATGAAAACAATGCTGGATTTGCTGCATGGCGCTTCTGACAAGTGCCTCGTTCTGCACGATGACTGAGCGCCTGATGTTGACAGCCCGAAAGTACAGCTGATCTGCCATTGGAAGACATTCAAATTGAATTTCCACAGTGAACATGCTTTTGCGCCAATGGGCCAGCTCTGCAGAAGACGCTCCGGCTTTGATTCGTTCAGCAACCGAGAGGAGCAATGCAGCTTCACACTCCTCAGCGGACACTCTGCGAAGCTTTCCAAACTCCAGTTCGGTAGCAGCCAAATTCTTGCTGGGCAAGGCCACAATGATCCTGGTTTCGGCCAGGGCCAGGAACCCAAAAAGAACCGAGATACTGTAAAACTCGGCTTTTTTCAAGTCCCAGTATTTTGGCGCCGACACCCAGCAGGAAAATTGGAACTGAGTTGGGTTTACTGCTAAATTTTCGCAAGGCCTCCTTCTTCATTACGAAGCCAGAAAACGACCCAAAAAAAATCAAAATTGAGCCCATCCGTCCCCCCATATCTTTATTTTAGCTCTTGCAAGGTTTACAAGTATGAAAACATGTGACATGTGTCTTGGCCTACCTCGAGTAAGCAAGAAAGTCAACAGAGCCAACCCTTCTTAACTTGGACGACTACACCTGCAATTCATTTGAATATAAGGTCCTCCAAGGGTACATAGCTGGACCTTTGCCAAAGTGCGCTGCCGCCAATTCCCGGGTCGCTCGGAGATTTGTGTAGACATTGCACGGTCTCCACTTGAGATCCAACCACAAAAGGTTGCCAGCAGCAGAATAGACCCCAATACTCTTCATTGCGGTGGTGAAATCAACAGCTTGGAAAGCGGCCTCCCAAAGGCAATGCAAATACCAGTCGAAAACAAATTAAAACAGCTGAAGTTTCTTGAAGGAGCTTAAGCAACAAAAAAACTGGGAGCAAGAAAAAAAACCAGCCGTTCCTAACAGGGGCCCGTTGTTCCTTCTCAACATTGCGAATTCCAAGGGTAAATTGTTGAAAGGATGGGGTGCAACACACCATCGCTACATCAAGGGGGAACGTTCCCCCCTGATGGTACCCTGGGAATTCGGCAAACATCGAACTGATTCAGTGCTAGGTATCTGCACCCTGTTTATAAATCAATTTGGACTTTGCCGAATTCCCAGGCTACCATCAGGGGGGAACGTTCCCCCTTGATGTAGCGATGGGGTGCTGCGCCGAGTCCTTCCAACAGTTTGTAGTTTTTTTTTTCTCTTTTCAGTCATTATTTGTCTGGAGTTCAAGTTTTGCCTGCTTATATGTATGTTACATTTTTCTAGAAACCCGACTGTGGGGTTCAATTTTTGCCTTCCGTATGTCTACATGTTATTAGTGGCCCTGTTTTGGAGTTCAAGTTTTGCCACATATATCTTTACATCTCTTTCGCATGGATTTGGAGTTCAAATTTTGCCTTACATATTTGTGCATCTCTTTGGCCCGGATTTGGAGTTTAAGTTTTGCCTTACATATCTGTGCATCTCTTTGGCCCGGATTTGGAGTTTAAGTTTTGCCTGGCATATCTTTACATCTCTTTGGTAATATCGGAAAGGAAGCAACGAATAATGAGCTCAATTTCAACCCAGAAAAAAAATCTTTAGGTCTGGGTTGAATTCTTGCCCAGTCTGGGCCCCAAAATACCCCAATGTCGGAGACGAGATGAAGATTAATGAGCTCAATTTCAACCCAGACCTAAAAATCCTTAGGTCTGGGTTCAATTGAAGCCAAGTTTAGCCTCCAAAAGACTCAATGACGGAGGCGGTATGACGATTAATGAGCATTGTTTTGGTTTGTTTCAAAAAGCAAACTTCAAACTAGCAATTTTCCCGTTGACCTGCCACTCCCAAGAAAGCCTCCCCAAAGGAAAGGTACCAAAAAGGAACACCCGGGGCAGGGGATGTTTTTTTTGGTGGGAGTTTTTAGGCAATGGCAAGCCGACACGAAAATTACAACTGCAAACAACAAACAATAATAGGAAGGCACAAAGGCACGGAGCTAACCACCAGCAGATTTTATTTGGGGCACTTGTGAATGATCACTTGGCAATTTGAACGCTATCTTGGGTGCAAAATAGTATCCAAAAGGACACCTGCCAAAAGAAAATGTTGAGTGTCTTTTATGTGCCCATTTAGAAGATTATATTGGGCCAGCTTGGGGTTATGTTGTGTTTTTTGAAGGCCTTCTTAAGACATGTCAAAACTATATTGGGTTATTTTTCAAAAGCTATGCCGAGCCAGTTGGGTTATTTTTCAAAAGCTATATTGGGTTATTTTTCAATCTATATTTGGAGGCCTTCTTAAGACATGTCAAAGCTATATTGGTTGATTTTTCAAAAGCTATATTGGGTTATTTTTCAAGCTATATTGGGTTATTTTCTCTTTGGCCCGGATTTGGAATTTAGGTTTGGTGGCACATGTCTTTCCATTTCTTTTGCCCAGATTGGGACTTCAAGTTTCGCCTTGCATATCTTTATGTCATGAATTTGGCGTTCAGGTCTTGTCTAGCATATCTTGAGATCTCTTGGGCCCAGATTGGGAGTTCAAGTTTCGCCTTACATATGTTTACATCTCTTTGGCGCCGATTTTGGAGTTCAAGTTTTGGGTTGCTGGTCAGCAGCCAAGAAATAAAACGTTGAACTTCAGTCATGGTTGCTGGTCAGCAACCCTCTTGCTGATCAGCTAGAAGTCGTTTAAGTTGCTGAGCAGCAACCATTGATGAGTGGCTGCTCGGCAGCAACCTTCTTGCTGATCAGCAAGTTATGCTTTAAGCTGCTGAACAGCAACGTCTGGGTAGCAGACTCTGTGCCTGTCGGCTAAGGTCTCCACCGTTGATGACTGGCTGCTCGGCAGCAACCTTCTTGCTGATCAGCAAGATATGCTTTAAGTTGCTGAACAGCAACGTCTGGGCAGCAGACTCTTTGCCGGTCGGCTAAGGGTCTCCACCGTTGATGACTGGCTGCTCGGCAGCAACCTTCTTGCTGATCAGGAAGATATGCTTTAAGTTGCTGAGCAGCAACATCTGGGTAGCAGACCTGCACCCGTCGGCTAAGCGTCGCCGCTGTTGATGACCTGCTGCTGGGCAGCAACCCTCCTGCTGATCAGCAGGCAGCCGTGTCCAATCCCTCTACATGTAACAGATCCAGGCCTTGGAGCCAGCATCGGTTTCTGCAACACCAGCAACACTAGAAATACCGATGGGGTCAGCCTTCATGATGTCCTGAAATTCATCTTGGCTCACAATCAACTCCATCGCTTCAGAAAAAGCAACAGCGAAGTCATCGTTGACATTGTCCACCAAGGCCGCAACCGGCTGCAACTTCGGAGTAGGCATTGTTTTGGTTTGGTTTCTGCAGACGTGACGGCTGAGCGGGCCTGCTGCATCTGTCGTCATCTGCAGCTGCATGGCACTGGTTTGATCTGCAAAGCATGTTAAAACAGATCATTTTTCTTCAAACATGGAATGTCACTGGTTTGAATCACTAAAGTGATTTCCTGCTGTGCCTGCTGTATTCAATGTTCACAAACAATGATCATGACAGTGAATGTCATTGGTTTGAATCACTATAGTGATTTCCTTCTGTGCCCGCTGCTGAGCCAAAAAAGACCATGCACAGCCGTTTTTCTGCAAGAGTCTTGCTGACCAGCAAGGCACCAAACAAACGATCAAATTAATCAAACATGTGTAGCAGATTCATTTCCACATGTTCTAGCAATAATGTGTTTTTTCAAAACCTTTACTGTCCAGTAACCCACCAAACCAACTATCAAGTCAATCTACCTTCCAAAGGTTTTTTAACGACTGAAGTGTGTTTGCTGAGCAGCAAGCAGCCAAACAAAAAACCAAAGCAATCAAACATTGTAGCAGGTCCATTTCTAGCGTTTTTTTACCTACTGAGTTTTATTTTCCAAAAAGGTCTTGCTGGGCAGCAAGCCTGGGGGCGCCCATTCCAGTTTTCCTTTCTTAAAGTTAGCACCATGGATTTTGGATCCTATGGGTTACTCTGGTGATCTTTTCAAGATATGAGTCCATCAATGGAAGTTCATCATCTTCATCAATTTTCCATGGTTCCCCTGTTCCTGCTTAACAGCCAGCAAGTATTGACATCTGGGTATGACTTGATGATGATAACTTTGGTGACATTTTATCGATCCATTAGTACCGCTTCTTGGATCCATCCTTGGATGTGCAAGACCCAGTGGGATACAACGCGTGCTGTATATCGCTGGGGACATTCCATGTCTAGCTGGGGATATGACACATGCAATTGGATCACGGAAAGGCTGGCTATTACCTACTACTCACTTGAACTCACATCCAAGTATGCAGATGTAGTCATCTCAGGTTACATACCCAGATGGTATAGGAATAGTTTACATACCTGGAATGTTGCTAATGCTATACATCCACATTCTAAAGCTGTAGCATATGAAAACGCAGGAATTCGTCCTGCAAGGCAGCTTCTCGTTCTGGCGTTTCAGCGGTGTCGATGCCGAAGCCCTCTGCGGGAACATGTGGAAGAAAGTTCCTCAACCGAATCTGGCTTAACCTTCGTGGCTGGTGGCAGATTTTAGCCACAAATAGGTTCTCAATTGGATGGTGGTTGGAAGAAGATCAGACTTGATTCCGAGCTTCCATGGATCATCTCAAATCCGTTCCGTCCGTTCCAAATGACCAAAATCGGCATGACACATCTGCCAATCGAGACGTTTTTTTGGGTCGCAACCATCGAACCATGATCTTTCCCCCTCATTTCTCCAAAAAATAGAGCCTCAGTTGTTTCTTCCCCAAAAAATCCTCACATCCTGACACAGGCTCCAGTGGATTTCCAGATCTATGCGCATTACTCTACTCACTCTTCCTGGACCAAAGGCCTGCTGCTCGTGGACCAATCGGGCCATCAAGGCTACGGGAGTCGCGCCTTGGAACTGACCTCTGAAGATTGCAGGTGCGGCTTGGGATCTTGAAAAAATAGCTGGAATTTTCCACTCAAAATGGACGGTTTACCAAAAGTGACCAATCTTATGGCCTTAATTGTGTCCATTTGTAGCCGGTGTCCTGTCAACCTTTCAGATTGGTTTGGACTCACAGACTGGCTTGCCTTTGTCGCGTCAAAGATGAGGTATTTTTGTGGGAATAACAGTGTAAGCCCGAAATGATTTGCCCCAGGTAGCTGCAAGCTATTGGGGTGCTTCTGATAGATTCAATGGGGCGGTCCAAACGTCCTGCGGTCCCAGATGCCGTCCTTCTCGTCTCCTGTCTTCTTTCGGTGCATGTCACAACTGCTTTTTGCCCCGAATTTGGACGGTTGATTTGAGTTTCCACATGAACATCGCCATACACTGGATTGTCCAACCCATTTTTGAGCAAACCTATTTCATGTAATTAGTTGGTTGACTATCACACATAATGCCCCATCAAACATCCCCATGAACCCAGGACACATCCCATGTTTGGTTAAGATAAATCCCATGTTTGGCCCATGTTTCATCGGGTCAAAATATCATGTTGATGGGAATTGAACCAGCCCTGTAGGTGGCGAAGCAAAGTGCCGGGGGGAACTTCTTGGCACATGGTGGACGAAGCAAAGCTCATCTCTGATGGAGATGAGATCCTCGGTGACTAATTTTCGGTAAATTCCAATTTCTTACTTGTGCTTAGTAGGGAATGAGGGAATGATCCACAATGACTATCAATAGTAATCCCATTCCCCCATTCCCATCCATTCCCTACTAAGCACCAGTAAGATTTTTGGTGAACTGAACCGGGTGATTTTGTCACAGGTTTCAATCTCGGGGGACCGGTGAAAAGCACCAAAAAAAAACAAAATCGAAGCCTCGACATAGAAGGAACCCTGCAGCCGTTCTGAGGCTGCAAACCTTTGTAAGTTCGTCATACAAAGCCTATCCCCAAAAATGTCAGATTCTAGAAGAGGACTAACAAGCAAGGATGACTGCCTTCAAGCTGGTTCGGTCGCAGAGTCAGAGGATGCATGTGGAACTTCTGATGAAGACCCAGACGGGCTGGAAGAACATTGGAAAACTCTATGCCACCTGCAAACCAGGTTATCATATCAACATGAAGATGACGATGTTCTCCAAGGAAGACGTCAATCGCGTTCAGGGGCAGCTTGGAGTCGTTCATCACAGCGAGTATCGCAGAGGTGGTGGGGCCGGCCTACTGGAAACTGATCAGAGTCATCAGCGTACAGACCAAGAGTTCCTGCTGCACAAAGACTCCTGGATTTTTGCGTTTCGTCCATGTTTTTTCGTGTTTTTCTAGGGGTCAATCCACCACCAGGGACAGCTACAGGGCAATTGCATGATTTTTTTGGTCCGAGATTTTTGTACGAAGATATATCACCCTAAGATGGTGATGTCCTACAAAAGGCACGCCTTTGGTGATACCCATAGCAGCCGTGGCATCCAAGGACTGGGTTGCCTTGGGTGGCAGCACAGGCGCGTCTGTCTACTTGAAGGCCAGTCATGGAAATTTGGTCCTTGGGACATCACCAGTGTAGCAAACCTTACCCTCCATATTCCTGAAAAATGTACGAGCCAAACCAGACGTTCGTTCCGTGTTACACCCAAATCACCCAAACAGAGTTTTGTATTTGTCACTAGGAGATGAACGAAAACACGGGCGGATTGCGCAGTGATGTTGACTTTAAGCTTCCGGGATTTAGGGTTGTAGGGTCTAGGTTTTTTGGGCCAAAATTTGTTGTGGTTTCAAAATCAAAAAGTGCTGGCCCTACGCAGGGCAAATTGTATGAGGGATTCGTTGCGGGCAAACTTCTGCAGCGTACAAGTATATTCCCCATTTGGTCGCCAGATTCCACATTCCCAAGAACAGCCTGATAGTCTTGGATGGAATTGGATTAGCATAAATAAAGTGCACATAGTTTCCTTATGTTTCCTTGTTTTCTTGGGTGATATCGGAATCATTTCTGAAAAACATGCTTCAGTTGTTTGTCGCCTTTAGGAGACGGACGAAGACGGACCGGCCGTTCTCAAGGGCTGCAGTGAGTCGGAGAGAGCCGACGCTCGGAAGCCGTTTTTGCTGGTGGTTTGTTAGAAGAGCTAGGACAATGCAGGTGATTCCCCCTTTTAATCACAATTAAAACTCATTATCGTAGGTAATTTCCCCGAAGGTTTTGAAGGGTTAGAACCATCTTGACAAACTTGTGGTTTCCATTTTGTCACCCTCAAATGTGAACCAGACATATACGTAGGCAGTCGATCTAAAGGTCCTTGTAAGGAGTTTAGATTGCGAAAGCGGTGCATGTTATGTTGGAAACCCTCGCGAATGTTTTTTTTTTCGAGGTCGCAAAAGAAAAACATATTTGTGAAAGTTTCGCGAAAGTTGGATATTATGAATCATTACAGCTTGTTAAGGGCTACCACCTCTTGCCGCCCGCGGTCCGGCAGTTTTTTTTTTTTGTACCGTACCATAGGTAGCAGCCAAGCTTCCGAAGGTGAGCCAAATACCATGGTCTTGAAGCACTTGCACCAACGTTGGTTTCGGAAGTCTCAAGGAGCACGCTCCAAATGCAGCAGCCAAGCTTCCAAAAGTGAGGCTTTGCGAGAGCCAAACACCAAGGCCCCTGGTGTTTTCTTTGCCCCCCTGCTGATGGCTGGGGCCTGCGGATAGGGTAGGGTCTTTTCGCGAAAGTTCCGCGAAAGTTCTGCGAAGGAGTGGGCGAAAGTCAAAGTGCATTTTGACGGGAGTGGCCCAGTAAGCCTTGCAAAAACTTGCCTAATCAGCAACAACTTGTCCTCAGAAGGGGGGTTCCATGATGCTAGCTGCATGTTTACAAGGCTATGAAGAAGTTATCAGTGATAATTTTGTGTGATTAATGGCAGATGATGAATGAATCTTCATAAGAGGTTGTTGCTCAACATGGGTTTCGCGAAATTTTAAACATGGTGTTCGCGAAGATTTGCGAAAGAGTATTTTTATTCGCGCGAAGAATGGCCGTTCCCGGATAAAGGAATTTTGATCAACCATCATTTATGAATAATTTGTAGATGTACACTGATGATGTACACATATCTTAACATACATATATACATTAACATATACATATACACAGTCCTTCAGTATGAACCACATCATATGATTCCTGAGCCCACCCAGATGCCAACTCGCCTCAGATCGCTGGAGAGCTTTGTGTGAAATTCCTGGGCTCAGAGGAAGCGGTCCCAAATTTCCAGGAGAGCATGGAGGATTGCGTCTTCGACGCTGGAGCTGGAGTGGTTTTGCCCGTTTTGAATATGACATGTGGATGTTGAGAAAAAACATAGGGGTTTCAGGACATATGACAATTTCTGCATCATTTTTAGGGTGTCCTTAAAAAATTGGATGGACAATATTGACAATTCTCCACATCTGTGGTCCCCTTGGTCTTAAGATTTTGACCCCTACCCATGTATCCATGTATTTTGAAACATACTTCTTTGGTTAAAGACCCATGTATCTTTATGTATTTTGTAGCTGCATTTTCCCAGTTCACTTATGATGCATTGATCCTTGGTGATGGCCATACGGGTTGTCTCAGCATATGGGTTGGATACCACATTTTTGGCATCCTTGATGGGAGGAAATGGTAAAGTCCCAAGACAGTTTCCAGGTTTGGTCAAACTAGAGCTACTTGTTGCTAGGGCAAACAGTTGGTTTGGAAACCGCTAATATACTACTCCAATCTATCTCCATCATACACCCATTTATAAATGATTTTCCAATGATATCCACAATATCCATTGGTTAAATCCCTATGTTCATGGTCAACTCTTTAACAAAGAATGTACTGCTTTGAGCACCAAGGATGTCTGTGCTGGTGGAGGGGAAGCTGCTGCTGAACTAGCAGCAGATATTATGAAGGCCTTTTGAATTCGTGCAGCATCCGCAAAAGTTGCGACTAGTTCGAGGTCGTTTCTCTAGCCGGATATGGGACTGTCTGAAAACAGGAGACCCTTTTTTTGCATATCCCAATCGTTGATCATGATTTTATGAAAATGGCCAGAAAATGGGGTATCCGCTGTTCTTGGACAGACCCATGCGCCAGGGCGATCCCCAACATTTAGCTGCATGCTCTAGCATGATCCTCAGTTGATATGGCTTCAATGTAACCCTAAAGCGGCACCTGCTACACACCACATGGACCAAAACACCTGACCTGCCACAACGAAAAGTGGATACAGCGGCAGCAATAAGTGGATATTGCCACGGCCAAAGGTGTGAGCTGCCACACCAAAAAGTGGATACTGCCACGGCCAAAGGTGTGAGCCACGTTGCAACGTTGCAACCCTATTACTGCCACACCTGCTGCCCCTAGGTAAGTGAAGCTTCATGGGATCTCATTGATATCAGCTTTTCCCCAAAGCACATTCTTGGTCCAAACCTGAAGGAATTTCTGACTGCATTAACCCACCGCCATGCAAAACCTCCCCCCCAAAACCGAGCCCAAATCCCTGTACAGATATACAGAGGCCTTGTAAATCGTTGGCTTGTAATGCTCAGCGCGCGGATGTGAAAAAAGGTGTCGGGCAGCATGCTGAAATGGATAACCAAACATTGTGAAATGGATGTCAAAAAAATCTAGGATGGTAGTAGCACCACAAGCTAGGCATACCCCATTTTTGGACCCATAGTTGGGGCTCCTGTCTTTCGCGAGGATCACCCTGAAGTACCCACATATCCGTTGCGGCGTGTGAGAAAACTGCCGGCTGTTGGTTCTGATGTTTTTTGTTTCGTTGGACAAAGGGGGGGGCTTAATTCAATGTTTGGTCAAAACGATTCACTGTTGTTTTCAGGGTATCTATATAACTTATATAACTTTTAAAACCGTGTCCATTTTTCTCCCAAGGTTTTTGTCAATAGATTCTCTAAGTTTTGCCATGTACATGGATGCAGAAACCTGGATGCAGCTGAGCCGCAGCTGGCTTGGAAAATCTATTCATTTGCTATGGGTATTTCATGGTTTAATGAGTTTTTGCTGGGCACATCATGGGGATATGATTGAAATATGTTTCACCAACTTGACATGAGATTTGGGTGTGTCAGAACATCGGGATTTTTTTGCCTTCAGTCTCTGGCCCTTCAATAGGGAGACTGATGATTAACCAGTTGATTGACCACTATATTTTGGAGGGATGCCTCAACAGTCGTTGGAAGTGGGACAGAGCCAAGTCAGGATGAATCCCGTTGCTGAAAAATCTCTGTGGCTGGTATCGACCATTCAGGTCATTGGGAGGCGAACTCGACTATGAAACAGAGACAGATGGACTTTCTATTTGATTGGCCCCTTGTCACTTCGGATTTCTGTGAGATGTGGATATGTTTTTAAGATCCAGTTCGTCAAGGATGGAATCCCGGTTGCCGGCTGGAAATTTACCGAGCAATCTGCGAATGGGTCGCCCCCTTTTGCTCCAAGAAAGTTCGAGTTGTGACAAGACATGGGCCCCATGCAAGTCTGCCGAACCTCTAATGGCAGGAATGTTGGACATGCCCATCCAAGACCAAGACAACTGGTCAGTTCACATTAGTTAAAAATGGATAGAGCACATTCCAACGGATTGTCCAACCAAGACACACACACAATAATTCTCCAGTCCTTAGAGTTCTCCGTAAGGCCACAAGATGAAAAGGGCCAGCAAGAATCTCAGCATGCTTAAATGGTGGCAGAAGGGCTCTTTCGAATGATTATATCATATTATTATCAAATATTATCCTACAGTTGTTTTTTGCTGTCAAGTTTATATTATTATACTGTTTCTTTGTCAAGTTTAAAGAACACCATCTGTTCTTGATTTTCTTCCGTCAATTGAGACAATCCTTTTTTCGGGATTCCCGAATCAAGTGGACCCACTTCGTAACTCCACTTCCAACGGGACTATCGCCCATCTGCCCGCTGATGGGATTGCTGGAGAGGGTTGGGATCAGGAAAGTGAGCAGCGGTGATGATATGGCTGCTATGGGGATGCTAAGAACACGGGGACATGTGGGTTTCCCTAAACATGGGGGGGGGCCAAAATCATTCAAAATTGGTCATTTGTTGGCGGAAAAACGATGGTCTTAGGGTACCACAACTTTCAGAGTCTGATGGTCCCACAACTCCCACAACTGTCAGAATCTGTATGAAACTGTAAGAATGGGAAGCTATGGGCATGGGCCAAAATAACACCCATAGCGTATTTCCATATCTGCTGTGTCTGGGTAGATCAACATCCATTTACCAGCTATTTTTGGTGTTCCTCAGGGCACCAGCATTTTGTTCCATACCTTCATACTCCAGTTTTTATGGTTAACTGGGTATGTGTAACTGGGCCACCAGGTTTTGTGGGGATCATGGACGGTAGTTGATCTCCTTCCTGGGTAGTCCCCCAATTACATATTGATGTATCATGTGTTTTTTTGTTACATGGGGTGACATTCTGTGCATGACATGGGTCGAACTTTTGAGAGAGTCGCGTCAATTTATAGATTTTAGGGGTGCCCAAAAAACATACATCCCGCACATTGCTGGATGAAAGGCATGGCTAGAAGATTGAACCCATAGTAAGTTGGTTGAAAAACTAGGATTACTTTGTGGATGTTATGTTTTTTTTTTAACGGTGTGGGAGCTGTAGCTTCAGGAACTATCATCCCAAGTGAGGCTATTGTGGATCCGACTGCCAGAGGTTTTTTTCAATGGTGATCTTGGAAGCCCATGTTCCAATTTGGGGACATTCTTGTAGTAATTATATATTGTATATATATATATATAATCTGGTTGGTGGTTTGGAACATTTTTTATTTTTCCATATATTGGGAATAATACACAAATTTTTTCAGAAGTTCTGGCTCAGGGGACCTTCCGGGGGTAGAGCTTGTGCAATCTGACACCCTGAGGGTCGTTTCGATCTGTGGCTTAGCGATGGGCAGTTTGGTTGACTGGGGAAGTCTGCAACTGGGGCAAAGAATCCATTTTGTAGCTCGTATGGTGTGTCATTACCTTAAAGGGGTTGAATGTAATCACATAGTCCAGTCAGCTGAACGCACAGCTCAGCAAGTTCGAGTGCGGGGCTCCCTGCCCTTTGCAGCCTTAGTGGTAATCCTAGATGCCTTGGTCGTGTCGGTCAGTCCAGTCTCAGTCCATGTCGATGCCACTACACAGGTCTTGCCAGTTCCCAGTAGCCCCCAGGGTTCATTGGAGAGGGTAGTTGAAGTGTGCTGTGGACTTGGTGCCTTCACCAGCGTTTTGTCACATGTCAACATGCAGCCTGTGGCCGGTGTAGATCATAATGGAATCTGGGCGAGCTTGTATGCCAAACTTCATGGTCAGCATGTCCCTTTTGTGGTGCATGATGTTGGAGCGACTGAGACGATGGTTGAACTTGCCTCGCATGGTGGTTTCTATTGCATGTTAGCTGCAGGGGTATCATGTAATGCACACAGCCAACTGGGGGATGGTCGAGGTATGGATGACCCTCGCTCCAGTTCACTGCCAAAAACCTTGAACTTGGGTTGGTTGTTGCAATCGGTTGTCATCCTGCTGGAATGTGTTTCCCAGATGATGCAAGATGCACAGGTGCAGGCCATGTTGACAAGCTTTGCCAGGTCCACAGGGTACCGCCTTACCCAGGCAGTTTTGCGCTTGAGTGATGCATGGGTTTCCAGACGTGACCGTTGGTTTGCCTTGTTGATGGCTCCTGCTTTGGGGCCTTGTGAGCTGCCTGCCATGCCGCAAATTGGTTTGTGCAATGTTCCACGTGACCTCATGCCAGTGTATGCCAAGTGCAGTGCAGAGGATTTGACTCAGTTGCAGCTCAACTTGTATGAGCCGGCTAAGTATTATCGATACTCCTCTGGAGGGATGGAACGTCAATGGTTTGATCTTGATGCAAAGACACCCACCTTGTACATGTGTGCTTGTGGTTGCAGGCAGGCACTGAGTGAATCCCGGCTTCAACAGCGAGGGTTGCTTGGAATTTTGGTGCCTCTAGGTCAGTTCTTGGTTCATGGCAATCAACAAATGGAAGAAGCGCGCTACCTCCACCCTGATGAAATGTGGGGGCTGCTTGGAGGGGACATGAATGTCGATTTTGGTTCAAACCTGCGACTGGCCATGGCAGGCATTGGGCAGTGTGTTGCTCCTTTGACTGCGTTGTGGATCTTTTGTCACCTCCGTAGGCACTTGGATGTCTTTTTTGGCAAGGCTGAAGTGTTGGACCCAGTGCAGGTACTAACTGGGTATGCAAAGCATGTCATGGCTCAGTGTGAGTTGAAGTAGCCTTGTCCCATCTTGCCTAGTGTGCCTCTCACCGTGCCAGAACCTGAACACCCTGACGAGGATGAGCCTGGTTTGAAAGGGTATCATATCTGTGTTCAGTGGCCACAGGTGTCGTCCTGTCAGGTTGCTGTGGCTGGAGTGGGTATGGACTTGGATTTGCCCCTCGAGTCTGGTATGGCCCTGGATTTTTCTGTGCCGCCAGCTCCTTCTGCGTGTGCTGGTCGGGATGGTGAGGCGGTTGTTAGCAGTGACTGGAATGTGTATGCAGTGACCACCTTTGGCTAAACAAGGTCCCATCTGGGGAGATGATGAATTGCTCTTTGGATTTCAGCATCTTAGAAGGTGGCGGTTTGGGACCCTTTGTTGATCACAGGGCTCCTAGTGGACAGTAACAGCAGGACGTGGCAACAGTTGATTGAGCCCCTTGGTGAGATTGCCACGGTCGTTTCGGTTGTTGCCTTGGATAATCATTGGTTCCCTTTGGTTTGGCGGTTGGATGGTCATGTTTCCAAGTTGTTCTCATGTGGGGTTCAAAAGTCTCATGTGCCCAGTTTGGATTTTCTGAACAGTATTGTGGGCGCGCATCGTACAGCAGAGGTTCAGCCTTGGCACTCAGCCGCTTTAGATTTTTCCCCGGTAGGTCATTGTGGTGCGTTGGCCTTGGACTTTGTGAGGCATCTGTTGTGGGGTTCTGCTCGGGTGC